TTTTATCTACCTGCATGGCCTACTTAAATTACACGGCCTGATTAGTTGCATTTTCCGTAAAAAATTAAGAGGCCAGTTTTTTTTACGGCTTATGTATAAAAACTTATGGTTAAGAGTCTTGTTTACACAATAATTGTTTTATTTTTATTTTATTAAAATGGTTTAATATTAGTTAGATTTTCTTTGATTACTTACATTATTTTGTGCTAGATTTTCTGTTAACTGATTGCCTGCTTCAGTTTATTCCAATAACAAAGAATACTGAAATAGGCTTTCAGATAGCTATATCAACACATATTAACATGCTACTAAAAATAATCTTACATATTGCTAAAACTACCCACAACTCTCCATTGGAAATAATTTTAAAGGTTTGCAGTTTTGTATTTATTATAATTGCAATTATTAAGTAAAAAAACATAAACTTTTCTTTAAATTATTTACACTGCAGAACAAGGTTTTGCATTGTAAATACTTTATTATGCTGCATGTCTCAAACATACAGCAATTAAAATGTAACAAATCAGGCTATTTATTTACTGTAGCCAAGAAATATCAGATATACCAACTGTTTTAGAGTCAATAGCTGTTAATAAAATTCTAATTTTTTTCATTGCCAAATAAATGGTTATCATTCTTCTTTATTTAAATGGTTTCGCAGTGGTAAAAAATACAAATTGAAAAACTATAATATATTAGAAAAATCATTGACAAAAATTTGGCATTAAGAGATTATTTGCTTCTTGTGGGTAAGGTGTACTTCCAAAAAAGCAGCCCAAAGTGGTAAACAATTTGATGAAGATTGAGAAAACAATCTTTATAAAGAATTTGTTTTTGTTTTTATGATTGTAGGGCTTCAAAAGTTTATTCTTATGTTTTGAAATCATAACCTAAAGTTTACATAACAGGTTTATGTTTGAAAAAAGAAATTGATGAGTGTATTACCTCAATGCACCAATCTGAATTTAAGATAAGAACTATTGTTACCGATAACCATTCTACAAATGTTAATGCATTTTTATAGTTTTATAAAGCATATACTGGAGATGAAAAATTATCAATTTATCATTTAGTTTAGAAAAGGAGTGTTTAAAATATACTTGTTATTTGATAAACTCGGTTTTTGTTTTTTTCTTCTTGTTGAAGTTACTGCTGATTACATTGCAAGGAATATATTTCTTAAAGTTTATTAAAAGATCACTTATTAAACAAGCAAGAAAAAGCAAGAAAAATTAATTATCAAATCACATATTTTGGTAACAACAAACAAGTTGTCAACATCGACAATATTTGACAAAACAACTGCAGCTACAACTGCTAATTTAGAGTTATTTTTCTGAAAGAAATAACGCAGCACAGTTATCATTGTTTTATAAGTTATTTATCATACTTAATTCAAAGCAGAAACTTAATTCATCTAATCAAACTCAGCGATGCTGCTTTGAAAGGTGATAACAAACCCACACTTTATAGAGAAATTGCAAATTGTAATGAAATTTGATTAAAATAAAATTTGATAAATACCTGACATTAACCAAACAAACTTCTTGTGCTCTAATTACAACACTACTTGCAATTGTATTTCGTATTCATGATTTCCTTGAAGAAGGCTTTACATTTGTTTGTAGTTAATTTACAAAAAGATCCTTTGGAGCTAGATTTTATTAAGTATAGTTAAATGCCCAATAGTAGACTTTTTGTGAGCCTTTTAGAAATGTGCATAAATAAAAAGATATTGGCAGATTTTTCCAGAAAATATTTACCAGAATTTTGATAATCCTTAAAAAACATTATGCAAGATATTGCTTAGTTGTCTAAATAAATACTACTGTCAGCTTTCTGAAGATAGCACAAATATATATACTAAAGCAAGTAATAATGGTAAAAAATAACAAAAAGATTTTGATGTTAAACTTATGATCAATAAACATTACTTTATAAAGAGAAGAACCTATATATTCAATTCAACCTCTGTCTAATTTTATTTGTCATCTTTTTAGTATTTTTTGTTATTTCTCTTATTCCAATAAAACATTGCAGTCATTCTTTTTTAATTAAAAATTTTCGAAACAAATTTTAAAGATTTGGTCTAGCAGTTTCAATTTTACAAATAAAAACCACCAAAAATGGGAATAAAATATAGATCTCGTATTGTATTGCAATTTAATATAAAAAATATTATTTTATTTTTTATAGTAATTTGCAAAAAAAAAAAAAAAAATTACATATTTATTTAAAAAAGATCAAGTAAAAGAATTCCAAAAAAGACAAAATAAACATTTCTAGCAAAAATGTATTTCTTCTTTTTATTTCAATTATAAAAAATACAAAACTACAAACCTTTTTTTTGCTCAATGGAGAGTTTTAGGCAATTTAAGCAACATGAGAGATTATTTTTAGTAGCATGTTGGTATGGGTTGATATAGTTATCTGGAAGCCTATTTCAGTATTCTGTGTTGTTGGAATAAACTGAAGCAGGCAATCAGTTAACAGAAAATCTAGCACAAATTAATGTAAGTACTTAAAGAAAATCTAACTATTATTAAACCATTTTAATAAAATAAAAATAAAACAATTATGGTGCAAACAAGACTCTTAACATAACAAAAAATATGTTTTTATACTTGAGCCTTAAAAAACCTGGCCTCTTAATTTTTTACGGAAAATGCACCAAATCAGGCCGTGTAATTTAAGTAGGCCATGCTACCTGATAAGTATTGCGTCAAAAAAAAAAAAAAAAATACTAATGTAATATAAATATAATCTCAAGCTAACATTGAAATAATAACATTTATAATATTATTATAAATAGTAGCTTAATTCTGTTCAAAATAAAAAAATCTTCAAAGAACTAATTCTTTATAAGATCATAATTTTATTAGATCATAAATTCCAGAGAAAAAAAATGAAAGATAATAAGATTGACACGACAGCAAATTTGAAATTGATGATATTTACATAATCTTTATTGACAGCCAATAGATCAATATTTATGTATAATTAATTCTATATTGTTTTTATATATCTAACACTAAGAAAATAACTATCTAGAAATAAAATTTCGAAAATTTTTGAAAGTGAATTTTGTGAAAAAATTTATGATTACATGGCGTCAAATAAACTTTTATACAAAAATTAATTATAATTTTAAAAATACTGCTCTGAAATTAAAATTTTAGAAATACTGCTCAACACAACATGCTTTTTTTGTTTTTGTCAATAAAATATCTTTCGATATAAGTGATTAAATAACAGTAGTATTTAACGATTTTTTCCAAAACATTTAACATCGTTGATCAGAGAATTTTACTTTCGAAGCTGAAACATCACGGCATTAAATACATAAGAGGTCGTCCAAGACATCATTTAGAATTTAAATACAAACTAGGGGTAGAAGTTTATTGGCTCCCTACCGCGGAGATGCTGATCAAATATAAGACGCCATAATAATTTAAAAATCTCTACGCACAAGAGCTAACATTCTCCGACTTCTTGCCATTAGTTAAACTTAGCGTGACGTCCTTTATGGATGACCCCAAATATACATAAATAGATTAAAACTTACTTTTAAAACATAGATATATTTGTTGTGTTTAAGCAGTCAAGTTACAAAAAAATCACGGAACCTTATTCCCTTAATATATATTAACAATATAGATAACGCTGTCCTTAAAATATCATTTATTACGTTTGCTTAGAACACACGTTTATTTTATTATAACTTCAATGTGATGTTATGGTTTGCAACAATCAACATTTAGTTTATAAGTTTTAACTTATTGTTTAAAGCGAATGAATTATCTTTAAATTCTAAAAAAGCAAGCTTTACTCTCTTTCATAAGCGAGTTACTAAATTTCTGTTACTACCTGTTAGTACCTGCTACTTTATAAATTAAAAATTAAACTAATTAAAGTACAAAGTTTACAAAACACACGCAAGTAAAGAATTAATTGCTTAAATCGATTAGTAAATTCTTTCCCTGAAACGAAATATATGAATGCTTAATAAATATTAAAATTTAATTCGTTTCAAAACAAATTTATGTATGTAAATATAAAAACAAATTTTGCCAAAATAAGTATAAATTTTTTAAATTTTATTTAGGTTTCCCAAGAGGTTCCTGCGGTCTTAGCACAGAACAACGCGAATGAGCATTTAATTGGAAGTTCATGCCTCCTTCATAACCGATGTCGCGACACTTGCGCAGAAGTGGGGATTGAACGACGGATCCTTTGTTTCTGAAGCAAGTGCACTACCACTGCGCTATGGCTGCTTTCTTAAACTTTTTTTTAGGAATATAAAATCACAGGTGTCAAATTTTCCAATTTGATGGCATTATAGAATCAGTTATTAAATTGCATCATCTTAATTACTTACTATACTATAACTCCTAAAACTTATAAATATTTATATACTACTGTAACTAAAATATATTGACTTTCTATTTGATATGCTATAACTTGTTTAACTTAAATTTATTTAATTAATGCTTTTAATATTTGTTTTAACATTTTATTTTGCACAATGATTGTTTTATTTTAAACTTTTTGTATCCCATATAAGTTCTATGAAAAGATTTAGGTGGCTTTAGCCATTTGAAATCTAAAAAGATTGACGTGACTAAAGTCACATCAATTTTTCAGAGCCTATATGGGGTATAAAAAGTCATAATGTCATCATCACTTAAAGTGATGATAACATTATAAAGTCATATCATCATCATCATCACTTGTTATGACTTTTTAAATGGGGTATAAAAAGTCATAATAAGTGATGATGATGATGATGATAATGATGACGATGATGATGATGATAATGATGATGATGATGATGATGATGATGATGATGATGATGATGATGATGATGATGATGATGATGAGGATGACAATGAAGATGATGATGGTGACGGTATAGTAATATCAAGATAAAATCAAGAGATATATAATTAATATAAAATATATAATAAAGAGATATATAGAGATATATAAACATGAAATACCATTTGTAAAAACTTGTACAAGCAACCAGACTTGAATAACTGCTTTGCCACACATTTTGATTAAACTGTAGAAGTTGAATTAACTACTAAATGTAATATTTATAGGCAATTTAAAGAGATTTTATATTCCATATAAGGATCAGTTTGATAGTTTTCTTAATCCAATTCCATATAAGGAACAGCTTGAAAGTTTTCTTAATCCATAAACTATATTAGTTATGCTTGGTATATCATATATCTATTTTCAAAGTTTTTATCTTGTCATATTTTATTTATCCCAGCTTAAAATCTTTATCTTATCATTAACTATTAGTCTGATGAATAAGTCAAAATTATTTTGAAAAAAATTGAAGTATCTCCTTTTATGGCTAGTTTTAAAATTTCAGGAATGCTGCTTAACCCCTCTAAAGTGAAATATAAATGCTTTTACAATTTAAAACCTTGCTAAACACACAAGCTAAACAAAAAATACAGATGTTTTCATTCTTACATGTGTTTATAGGAAATTTGTTAGCGACTAGCGGGTGACATTAATAAAAATAAACACAACAAATTGACTTTGAAGATTGTTAAAAAGATTAACTAGCTACTAATTTAAAAATAAATAAAACATATTGACTTTGAAGATTGCTAACAAGATTAACTAGCTACGAACTTAAGGCAACCTTTAATTATAAAAAGAACAACTTGGTTACAAGGATTTGTAACTATTTTTTGCTAAATACGTTTTGTTAGGAAAACGTTCTCAAAATGGATATGCAAAAGGATATTGTTTATCCGCTAGTTTTACAGCATTTCTAAACATCTAATGTTAAAAATGTTTTTGAAAATTGACACTTTGAGATATATGTACTGAAACCCTAACAGCTACCTATTTGATTATGAAGTCACAATGCTTAATTAGATACATAGATTCATACATACATACACATATACGTACATACATATATCTTATTTTAAAACTTGGAGAGTAGGTTAATAGATGATGAAGACATTATTGTTATACTATATATACTATATAATATATAATAATATTGTAATAGTAAATATGCTTCAACAATATTTTTAAAGTATATATACTATAACAATATTGCCTCCATATTTTATTAATTTAATGTCCTATTTTTAAAACAAGAAACTAGAATAAAAACTTAAAACAAATAAAAAAATGTAGTTTATATAATAATAATAATAAATAGCATAGAAAGAATTTTGGAATTAAAAAAAAAAAAAGCCATCCATTATATGTATACCCAAAACGTCTTGCTATTTGATTTTTAATTAAAAAAGTTACTCAATTAGTAACAAAAATAAGAAGAGGTTGACCTCAATTATAACACAGTAAGAACTGTATTCGTTAATACGAATACACATTTGAACGGTGTTAGTTAATTCGCACACTAATACTTACATTTTTTTCATTTTTTATTTTTTACATTTAATCAAATGATCTAAAGTTCTTATTATACTTATTGATAATTAATATTTGAAAAAGATTGAAAAAGATTGGATGTCTCAAGAGGTGGAGCTTAAATAACTTTTAATATCTACAAACCTCGTTGTCGGCAATTCTTACACAATACAACTCGATAAAATTTATTTGATATAACAGATATTACAAAATTCATCTGCGCAAAGACATATGGCTTAACAATTATTTTTAAAAAATCATGTAAAAAGTATCAGTAGCTTTAATTTCTTTTTTTTTTTCTTTTTATCTTAATTTATTTATGCGGTATTGAAAGCTATATCTCTAAACAAGTCAATAAAAATAATTTTTATTTAATGATAGCATGAGATTCATAAAAAAATTACCCGCCACTAAATTTTGTGTGTCCCTATATGTCCCGTACTACCCTAACTTTATTCAAGTCTAGATTAAGGTATAATGTCTTACAACTTCTACAGCCTCAGATGTAAGCCTTTGCTGCGGAAATAAATGAATCCAAGACATAATTGTAAGTTAAACAAATAAAAATTTTTTACCATAATGACAAAATCTTTACAATTTCTTCCAATAAACAAGTATTTGAAAAAAAAAAGAAAGTTTAAATTCATTTATACACTTCAGATGTTTGTCATACAATGGAATACCCAGTTTAAAAAAGAACTTTTTTAAATTTCTTATAGAGGTCCATATCTACATAATAATATAGTTTTAGCAAATTTGAATTTTCCTCTTAAACTGACTTTTGCTTCATTTAAACAGAAATGTATAAAATATATAGTTCTAACTGAAAGTTTCTTCATTTATTTTTAATAGTTTTTATATAATCATTGGTTTAACAATTTGTTTTAACTACTTTAGAAAAAACTTTTTATCAAAAGGTATTCATCAAATATTAAGGGGTATACTCACCCATTTTTAAATATAGACAATAAATAACAACATTTGACATAAAATGATTATCCATATCATAAATGTAGAAAATTAAAAAAAAAAAAAATTGGACAATGGTTTCTGCAGTAACCGTAAAAAACCCCCAAAATAAGCAGAAAATAAGATTTGCGCTGGCCAAGTTTTAGCAAAAACTAATAAAAAAGGCTGAACGAAACTTTGGAAACACAATTAGAATAGGTTTATGAGTGTTTTAAACGAAACAGATTTTTTTTAAAAAGTTCTGGGCCTGAAGACTTGTGATCTAAAGTTAACAATAGAAAAAAAAGCATTTTTCGAAAAATTAAATTAGCTATACTGTTTTATTCATAAGTATTTCAAAACTCTGTTCCGTTTAAAACACAGCTTTTATAAAAAGGAAAATTTGTTAAAAATTTCAGATAAAACGCTCAAGCGGTTCTCTTGGAATTTTGGCCGGCATATTGAAATACCTCAAACTGAGTAAACGCATAAAAATTGAAAATAAACGATAAAAGATCTACAAATATACGTAACATTATATATTGGACTATATTTAATATTAAAAACCTACTCCTTCATATGTTTTACTTTCTTTTTCAGAGGTTTTGTCACTTTTCTTCAGTTTTTTAGCTTTTGACGATGTAACTTGTTATGGGAGTTTAGTTTATAGATCGACGATTTAATGCGTGTTTTATTCATGTCGATAGAACCGTTTAGTGTATAAAAACCTGGAACCATGTTCAGTTTTTCATATATTAGAATTGAAGAATTCATCCCAATGTTAAAATTGGCAACAGCATCATAAACACCAAACTTCAGCAAAATCAGCGAGACATATTTCGTTTTCGGTATGCGATTCCAAATTTTCCCATGGAAAGACTCATTTGCATTTTGCGTTTTACCGTGCAAACATTTTTTAAGCTCATCTTCTTTTGTGAGCTCTTCAAACACAGGTCTAATCTTGTATACAACCTCTAAAGGTAGACCAGGTCCTGGCTTGTAGGTGTTAGTGCTATTTGCTTTGTCTCTGTTAAATTTACACCAACTGCTTACACCTGTTGGACAATGTGGATAGTGCCAATTATTTGCTTTTAATGATGCAACGTGAAAAAGAGTAGCAAGCGCTGCTGATTTCATGGCAATTAAATTACCAGTATTCTGTCTAATTGCCACACCAAAGAAATTTTGCAATCGATCAATTGTTGCATCTGTCAATCTACCACGACCGCCCAGTCCCCTAACTTTTTTTTTCAAATTCCGGAGTCTGGTTCCAACACGCTTCTGATAGTGTCCAACACATTCTAATTTATTTACTTTAATATTAGGATAAACATCCTTGACACTATTGTAACTTTTGCTATCTCCATCACCTAAAAAGTTAATGTACTGCAACTTATGCTTTTTAATCGATCGCTGGAAAATACGACTGGCTCCTTTGCACTCCATTCCACCAGCAGAACCTACATAATTCATTTTACAAATGTGGGAATTTCTCCACTCGGCGTATGCATTAGGATTTTTTTCAGAAAGTTTTTGATTTACGGAGCACCCTCTGCATACTCGACTCATCACCTCAACATCTAAAACTTTCCCACTGTCCATTGAAAATGCTGCAAATACACCATTCAATGATGAAAATCACCTACGTTGCCACGTGCCATCACATGATACACCAACATCAAGAATCTCATTATTGTCTTGACACTGTAGTCTTAAATCAGATACAGCATCAGTCATTGTTTCCTGTGCAACTTCCTCTATAATATTAGTAATTTTTAAAACAAGTTTGTTATTTTTTGGCGTCATTGGTTTTGGCATGTTCATGAGGGTTGTAAACCTTTCAATTCCGGAATGTCCTAATCCAAGAGTCCTCATTGTATATACTGTTTGATTGTTTATATCAAAGTTTCCTTTTTTATTAACTAACTTAGAAGTGTAAAAGTTATTTTGATATTTACACTTTAAACAAATAATAGAAAGTTCACATGCAAGTCCTTGCTTTTTGCTTTTGTTTTCAATGATTGCTAAAGTCGTTTGGAAACAAGTCGGACAGCTCAAAACGCTAATAACATCAGACAAAATTGAACAATCAATAATTCTATATCCTGTCAGAACTTTGTTTTTAGTATTGGTATATTTTTGTGGAGTTGAGCTAATGACTGCTTCAACTTTGCGAAGAGAAGAGCTTGGCGTATCGAAGATATCAGTTTGACTATTTACAGGTGATTCGATATTTACACTTAAAAAAGGAAAATTTACATTATTTACACTCACACTGCTACGGTAAATCTGCAGTTAAGCGGCGTAAAATAATTATATTATTTTGCTTTTTGCGCTCTCGTTCGCGGAGACTAAAAAACAAAAGAAATTCAAAACGAGTTTTAACTTTGAAAGGTTTAAAATAAGAAAGCTTTAAAAAAAATTATATTTTTAATATATATATATTTCTATATAATAATAATAATTATAATATATATGTATATATATATATACATATATATTATAATATATATATATATATATATATATATATATATATATATATATATATATATATATATATATATATATATATATATATATATATATATAATTATATATAAAATAATGCATATTGTATTAATATATTATATAAAATTTAATAATTGATTTAAAATTTATTTTTTAATAATTATGATATCTTTACGTAACGCAACTTTACATAATACGCTCACCACCGTTGATTTTTTTAAGTAAAAAATACATAATTATTTTACGCCGCTTAACTGCAGATTTACCCACTGCTACTTATC